GGGGGGGTGCTCGTGACCTTTCTACAGCTAAGAGAGGTCACTCTCGCCTCCTGCCTGGTCATCTGCTGCTGAGCTAATAGAAGTTTTGGAAGACCAGACACACCCGCACTCAGCACTCACTGCCTGATTGTATCAGATCTCTGGGGCTGGAAAGAAAACAAAAGGTTAAGACGGTCTGGAACATGCAGGACTCGGCTGAAATTCACCAGACAACTAAAGTACTACAAGAGACGAGTTTAAAAAAGTACTGGATATGGCAATGTTTGCGCACTATATATATATTTATATGCAGTGCGGAAAAATAATGATTTATTCCCCTGCTGATTGTGCAAGTTTGCTTACAAAAACATCCAAAGTCTCATTTTCATGCTAGTTGTATTTTAATAGAGAGAGACAGAATATCGACTAAAACACAGGAAAAAAAAAATCCCATCTGATATAAAAGTTTGAAATTGATTTGCAAAATCGTTGAGGGAAGTAAGTTTTAATTCTCTACAGCTTCTACAGATGGCCTCACAAAACCTGTTTCTTCAGTTCTCACATACACATTTCTAAAAAAAGAATGGTGGGGTGGGGGGGGACCTTTCAGTCACTAATTTCCAGGTTCTATCCGTGAGGCTGACACCCTGTCTAYGTTTAAAACAAGGCCTACAACAGTTAAGGTTTTCTTACTCTCTATGATCTCCATGCTTGTATTTGCAACTCATAAACTACAGCTGCACCTGGACCAGTTGCTGTTTGTCCACTGTTCTGTTGGATTGCTCCATCTTGTTMAAACGAAGATGTTCCTTTCCACTGTCGCCACTTGGTTTGGAGACAAAGTGAAGATTTGGCACACTTAAGCTTTATTAACGGGTATCTCATAATTGAATATAATTTGGTACTTTATGTTTATKTGGTAGATTTATTCCTTTCCAGTGAGTTTCTAACAACTTGCTACACTAGTTGTTATGTTTATTTTCTGTGTTTTGTTAGTTAAAAAGTAAAATAGAAAGCAAAACTTATTGAAAAATCAGCCTGATAGAAGTTATAGAGAAAATGTTTTATCCAAAAAAAAACCTTCAGTATGTTCAAGTCTTTAAAAGCCACCATCTCTAAAGCTATGCTGCCACTCCATTGTAAAAAGATAGGTTTCAATTCAAAAATTAACTTGTTAAAATCAATAAGTTACTTTGATACTCATAACTGATTTAGAGTCAAAAATATTTAACTGCAGTAGTCATCTATTAACCTTAATTGATGCCACAAATAATCGTGATTATTATTATTATTTGCCAATATTTATCGACCCTACTTCACTTTCAGTTCTGAGTTGTTGGTTAAAGCATGAGGATAAGCTAAGTTAGTGAATAAAGTGTTATAGTTCAAGGTTTAGTCTGTTTTATACCTTAAAGGCACAGTGTGCGGGACTTTGTCAATTATTTTAGCCGAAATTGAGATAATCACTAATGACAATAATAATAATAAAAAAAACATGTCTAATTTTTGCAGACAAAGACCTTGTTGTATTATTTTTACCTTATAAAAAGCTGTTTATATCTCCATGGTCGCGGGTCGCCACTACAG